GGGTTTCAGGGTTTCGGATTCAGGGTGTAGGGTTCAGGGTTCCGGATTTTTATGGCGTCATCATCGGCATCAACCCATCTATCTCTCTGAATATTTGCATGCGGGCTTTTGTATGTGGAGACATAAACACATACATGACCGTGTCATGTCTGGACTTTGGCATCTATGTGGTACCTATGTGCATAATGATGCAAACCGTGCAAGTTTGTATGCGTATGTAAACGACTGTACTTATACATGTGTACACATATCTACATGGCAGCATATATATATATATATGTTCCAGTAAACTTATGCTTGTCTGGTCATCTTTCCATTTCTCTCTTCTGACGGTCCTTCTAGCTTTCCACTCTTGCTCGATTCGGCAATGCTTTGGAGAAATCGTGATAGCCACGGCAGAAGAAGCTGTAACAGATTAGAGACCATCATCATTAGCACCATTGTCATCATGATCATCATTTATTGTCATCATCATCATCATCATCAACATGATCATCATCACCGCCATCATCACAACACAAAAAAGCATGAAACTATAGAACTGCATATGTTCGCAAAACAGTGAAAGTAGTAATGGAGTCTAGTGTATCTGCGGCAGGAATCAGTGGAGATATGTGCTTGTACCAGCGTGCCCACGTATCGCTTGGGAGTATCTTAAGATGCACACACCCACATGTGCCATTGGACTGGATCTGGCTTCTCCAGAACCCTGTCTAAGGGTGGACAGCATCACGAACATGCTTGGGGTAATATTGGGGATATATTGGGGTTATATAGGGATAATGGCAAATATGATGGAAACTACAGGGATTATAGGGGTTATGTAACATGTTATTCACTCAGCGCAGTCGAAGAACTTGTTCAGACACATAAAGACTAGCGACTACTGCTTAACACCCTAAGCCTGTGCCACAATGCAACACCACTCATGGGTTGGCCCCTAAAGCCCTTTGAAAAATATTGGTATATAGGGTCCCTTATTAAAGCCATTAGGGAAAATATCAATTATCCCAGGGGCCTACCCAGACTCCGGGCATCGAGGCTGTTGAATAGAAGACTGCAAGGAAAGGTGGCAGGGGAAAGGCTGGGGCCCAACAGCACTACAGGGGCCTAAATAATTACCAATATCATTCTTCAGGTCCAATTTGAGGTACCATAAACCATGACTATACAAGGAATATGGAACCATAACATTGGTAATTAATTCAACCCCTATATTACCCAAGCCAGACCCTATCAAACTGCCGCATACTGAGGGGCTTGACGCAAGTCTCTCTTTTTTCCTGTGCGATCGGCAAGGACCCGAACTTCACCGCAAACTTGTGCGCAACGCGCCATCCTGCACAAACTGCAACTCTAAACTCTTTAAACCTCATAAAGATTCTCTATAAGTTATAGTTAGGGGGGATTACACTCTACGGTCCACGGGGTGTCAGGCTTACGTAGAGGGTTCCCTCCTTCGTCACCAAATACCCTCCCCAAATCTAACATGAAAATCCTTTAACGGATTCTACGTGCGTATATGGGGATGTACAGAGTATACGTTTTTGAGGTTTGCAAATTGGAGGCTGGGTTGAGGTCTTTCAACAACCGCTGCTGTGAGACGGACATTCGGAAGCCGCACATCAAACAGATCCCTCGCCAAGTGGGCTTTAGGGCAATTGCCACCCAAAACTCCTTCATCCTAAGCCCTAAACGCTATAGAGTATGTTGGGATCTATATAGGGGTCCCCCTAGTTTTGGAAACAACCATTTAAAAGGAAAGGGTAAATATCCTTGGGAGGAAAGGACCCATGTACAATCCCAATTCCCATTTCATTTTCCATGTGATTGTCCAATTTATTTTCCATTTGAATCTCCATGGTCCATGAGTATTAAGAGCGCGGAAGCAGCTTGAACAAGTTTTAACCCTAAACTAAGCAAGACCAAAACACGAAACTCTAGACCTAAGCCCTAAACCGCAATAGTCGCAAATCCTCCTCCCGAAATATTGATGTCCATCTTTGTTTTGCGGACTTTAACTCCCCACTCACCACCAGTAAGCCCTAAACACTAAAGCTTACACACGAAACCCTAAACCTTAAACTCTAAACCTTAAGCCCTTACCCCTAAACATTGAAACCTAAGCCCTACGCCCCCCCACCTTGCTTGTTGGTCTTCTGCTCCGCTTCCAGGAGGGGGTAAAGCATTGCACTGTCCCGAGGGGCCGCCGATCTTCAGAAACCTAGGTTTAGGGTTTAGGGTTTAGGGTTTAGGGTTTAGGGTAGGAATACCAAACTAGGGTTTTAGAGTTTAGAGGTTTACGATAGAGGGTCTGCAGAAACCCAGGAATACAAAAGGCCATATCACCGGGCCCCGACTACTCCCCATACTACTGAGCTGCTGTTAAGGAATTTCATTTAAGTTACTATGATGGGTTTAAGGTTTAGGGCTATTATCCCCCGATAATGGAGAATCAAATAGAAAAAATGGGAACTGAAATGGAAACTGGGGTAATCAAGGGATTCAAGGAACTTGGTTTAAGTCACTGTATTGGGGAAAGCGTACTAATTACTATTGATACCCATAATGGTAACTTAATTTCAGTTCCTTAACAGCAACCCAGACTGACCCCCTAGCTTCCCGCTTAATTAAAGCTAGTTAGGGATGATTCGGGCTCTTTAAGGCTAATTCAAGGGGAGTTGGTTTAGTAGGGAGGCCCCTGACTCTGAGGTCTAATGTTGTAAGGTGTAGGGCATTAGAATTTAGGGTTGAGGGTATAGGGTTAGGATTTAAGGTTTTGGGGTTTGCGGGTTAGAATACAAAGCGGCTCCGCTTTATGGCTTTTAAACTCGTCTTACAAAGTCGTCGTGACTCCAAGAAAAAAGGCTTAAAAAGAGGTATTGGGGAACCCAGGAGCACAGTAAGGCCAAGCGACCATTCCAGAAGGGAAGCTTGCAAAACCAGCTTTGCGCATTCTTCCCATAGCACTCACTGACTAGGAAGTCCAGGCAACGCAGGAGTCCTCACATGATATTTATGTCGTTTAAGAATATGGAGGCTTCCGAAATGTGATGATTTCTCCTGGGGGGTCAATAAAGCTGGTTCAATGACAGTATGTTGGGAGTACATCATCCAGATCCCCCAAACCTTAAACCCTGAATTCTAAACCCTAAACCACGGAGCAACTTCTGAGATTCAGATGGACACTCTATCGAGGGCTCCTGGCATCCTTACATGATCCTAACTTCTGACGCTTTTGAGACAGAGACGCAATGCATTGCAGGAATCTCGCAAGGGAGGGCTAGGTAAAGAGTTCTGGAAAATCTCCTACTTTCCTCGCGCATGTGTCCCAGATTTGAAGCTCGGTGGCAAACTAGAAACGATTCCAAATCTGAGAATCTGGCATAGAACTCCAATATGGCCTGAAAAAGGGATGCCATATCGACTCCTACTTCCACAGGGTAGAGAGTTTAGGAGTGAGGGTGTAGGTAAAGGTTCATAGGACGTAGTAACTACTTACGCCTGGGGCTGGAACCCCACTTATACTTGGGCTAACCTACATAGGTCACCCAACTGTAAGTAGTTACATACTAAGCACCATGAACCTCTAATCCCACCGTCCGAAACCCTTAACCTATACGCTCAAAGAGTCCTCGGTCTGATACGTCAGAAATGAGACACCGCCGTGGTCTCCGAGCTTAGAGGCTGTCCTTAGGGACTGGAGGAATGAATCCCTATAGTATTCCATTAGTTTCCATGAAGCCTTAAACCTTAAATCTGTTCCATTCCCCCGTCATTCCCTACAGTACTAACACTCAGCCAGTCAGGTCTCCACCTGCTTCCGCCCAACGAAGAAGGACATGGGCCTGCCATCTTCACCCGGAAGCTCCTCGCTGCGGTTCAAGGGTTGTACAGGGTTTAGGGTTTAGGGTTTAAGTTTAAGGGTTTAAGGGTTCAGCGTGCAGGGCTTAAACTTGGTTACATGCTGTGTTGCATCTAGTACTGGTTTGAAAAACAGCTTGGACAGAACCTTAAAAGTCAGAGAATCAGTGCCACGTGGAATTCTGCAAGCCGTTTTGGTAAAATGTCGGAATGCCTGCGCAGTAGCTAGACAGGCCCAATGAAGACGGGGACCCGAAAATCCCCGAAAAGTCACCACAAAAATGTTGATGCCTATGGACTACATCAACATGGTTCCTCAAACATCCGGAGACCTGCCTTACACTAGGCAAGTATACTTTGGAACAATCGGGTTATCTGAGCCGAGAACTGGTTACGCAGAACCATCGGATGTTGTTTGACATCACCTTGGGTTTGTCCTGCCTAGGCTCACACACCCACAACCCTAAACCCCTAAA